CAAGATTGACGCAGAAATTTCTGCTCAAAACTTTAATCTTCTATGACGTTTTTTGAAGACCAAAAAACGACTTCCCATTTCTATTATAATTTGTCTTCAACAACAACCAAGGGCTTGTCTTTCTAAGAATCAATGGGCCTAGGGCTGGAGTTAGTTTTATGGACACTTGGAACTCCAGAATATGAAGTCCATCAACAGAATAGGTTGTGCTCAGTCTAATACAGCACATAGCCAAAATTCAGAAGCTGAATGATCAATATGAGGCTGAACTTAGCGTCTTGATTCCTCTTTGACAATTGTAGAACCTTTATTTTCATCTTTCCCCAACGCATGAAACGGAACTCCAATTTGAAGGTCTTATCAACTCCAGATATCCCTGAAAAAACCGACACCAAGGGTCAGCATAACAAAACCATGCTGGAATTTTAACCAACTTTAATCAATATTACTCCCAAAATGCACACTAAAATAATGATCCTAAATTGTAAAAATTGTCTACAACAAAGTTGAACTTAAGCACATAAATAACCCAAAAAATGCATACGGAATATAGACAATAAACAAGCACTTGATAATGCACTTATCAGGAATAAAGTTTCATTAGGCCTTAAATTTTCTCTCAATCTTGTCTCTTCCACTGCTGCATAGATTAGAAACCTTGATTTGCATGTCAAGAAAATATCCAAGTGGAGCTCATGAAAATGATAAGAAGCTGCGTTTGAAACAATTTTGACTTAAATCAGGCACTGTGGTATGTAGCACGGGCCGTGGCCCTTGATGCCACAGTCTGTCGGCGCTCTCCGTGCCAAGGTCTGACTCTTTGCTGAGTTTTATCCTTGGTTTTGCACAGTCATGCTAATATGGCATGGGCTGGGCATGCTAAAAATATTTTTACTTCATTTGTTCTTTTCTGTGTCAAACCCCTACAAATCCTTAACGATCAACGTGGACTTAACTAGATCTCAATGAAGCTTTATATGGAAAACATAAAATAAAATTAAGATATTAAAAGACTAAATAAGTAAATTAAAAAATACCTAAACCCAACTTTAATTAAAAATTACATTGAAACAACTATAAAATTTACATTATCACTCATCTCTGCTATATACATAAGCCGGGTACTTCGTACATCTCGAGTTTCTCAGATCAAGGTCTTTGTGCAATTTCCAATGGCGCGAACGCAGAAGAAAAACTCTATCTAAGACCAAACCTTTCAACTATGGAGAAATGCGTAATATAGGGCCTTTTGGCGCCAATATAGTGTCCATAGAAACTTCCCTCTCCTGCGCTGTGTTTATCAGAAGGTATACTCGTCTGAGCCAAAATACCATTGATAATTTGATTGATATATTAGGTGGTCCTCATTACAAAGGGGCTTGGAAGTAATTAAATAGTTAAATTCTATGCCATTTTGGTACTCCAGGTTGGACAGAAATATAAAGAGTAACACTAAGTCGGTCCTATGAACTGACACAATCAATTAGACGCCTTCACATAAAGTATGGCCAATGACGTTCTCTAACTACATATATTTTGTTCGGTATAAAAATTCAAAGTGATCTCTTTTCTAGCACCATCAAAATTGAACCGGAACCCTACCGAAAAAGCCTGGCGAAATTAAACTCAGTCTCAAAAAGCTGTAAGTATTGCAGGATTGATAAAATTAACTAGGTACAGTTACATCATATTTGTATATTTATTAATTAGAATGGATATTACCTGACTACAAATACAAATAAATTGTGACTCTGTGATGACCTAATCAGAGTAGGGTATCCTGAGCAAACAACCAGCTTTGATGGTACTAATTTCCTAGTTAAGCTTTCCAGCATCTTTAAAGTTGCTCAAGAATTTGTAAGTTAGACCCTCAATATATCACCTATCCTTCAATTGTTACCATTTTCAACGGTTTAATATTATATTGGAGTTGAGAATTGAATGCAAAATTAGGCGTTTCTTTCAAAACAATTAATTGGATCGTCCAATCACTAGCTATTGGGCACAATTCTACAAAAATTTGGAATGCAATGTAAAGTGACTTATTGTCAACTCATGTTTTATTCAGTGGTGTCAAAATGGGTCATGATATATGAGACACCGATTACTGAAAAAATTAAATGAGTTAGATCATTGAGTTTAAAATGGATTCAATGTCATAAACAGATCGTTGTATTTGTATTTAAATATTTGCAATCGATTATTAAATGGGTTGTATTTCGTATTTGATTTTAATCGTGTTACGTGTAGACGGGGATTCGTGTACAACTAGAACGTAATCCATTTTGACACCTCTAAATTTTATTGAGCCCATTAAGTCTTTAAAATTTGGAACTTTTAAAAGTCATTTGGATGGACATATTTTGATTTTACCTTTTAATTGCTTGTTTAAAAACTCCCTGCAATAGCGATCTGAGCTCAACTTCTGTCCAATCAAGCAAAATTAACCTGCAGCATTTTGGTAAACTTCTTCATTGCTACAGTACCTGATAAGGCCCTTTATCCTTTCTTTTCCTTTCTTTTCTTTTCTTTCCGGTCGCAAATATAATTTGTAATTTTATATATATATTACATTGCGGACTTTGCAGGATCTTGACTGATTAACCACTGTTATCAGCCCCCAATTCCTGACTAACTGGGAAACCTCACTCCAAACTTTGCGTCCTTTGTATGAAGCCTTTTTATTATTTAATCTTTTGTTATGTTTCTAAACTCACTGCGAAAAAAAAAAAAAAAAAAAAAAAAACAAAAAAAAAAAAACAGGTTTGTGGTAAAAATGAAAATTGAAGCTCAACGCGGCCACTTCTTGCAGGTCTTGCGAAAAGTGGGCCATTCTGGTAAAATTATCTAAGTTTTATTACAGTTGATAAAATAAACAAACAATAACTTTTTATGGAAACAGAGAAAATTTCTAATATTCTTATTGAAAAGGACTTTATTTAGGAATGTTGCGATGTAAAGGAGTATTTATAGGAGCTCAGATAAATTTACAATTAATAGGAATAAAATAATTACTATATTCTTAAATCTAATTCTAGGAAAATAAATATAAAAATCAATACTAATTTATACACTTTAAAGTTACAAACCAATAAAGATAAAAGTAAATGGACAGAATAATGAAACAACGCAATTGACTAGTCCTGTTATTAAGTAAAAGCATGTGTCTTTATGATTTATCTATTTAAAATTTATTAGGAATTAAACATACTAATTAGTCAAATTTAAATTTATATTGCTTATATTTGCCACACTTCTGAATCTTTATGTTATAACTCGTTTGGCGGATCCACTTATCTTTCTGGAAACATCCACATAATTCATGTTCTCTACTTAAACGACTCGAAAAATTTGTAAGTCATTCCGTTTAAACATTTTATTTATTTTTAAAGCGATCAGTTCGAAAAAATTAAAGTGATTTGATTTTCATTATTATTCTCATTTTTTTGTCAGGAAGGCGGTTTTTGGAATGCGCTCAACAAATCATCCTGTCAAAATATCATTATTAATTTCACAAAAACTGTGATTCAATGCAATGCAGTGAACTATCTGGAAACACATTTGTCTGGGTTTTATACCAATTACATCCCAAATGGCTGACGAACCTCACTTTTCTGCAAGTATTTCTAAGAATTTTATTTTTGATATAAATAAATAGTACAATAAATAATAGATTCAAATGTTGAATGATTATTATTATTTTAAAATGGAAAAAAAAAAATTATCTATGATTCTGATATTGGGTTTGTACTATTATAAAATTGTCAGGGAACTGATGGAAATAAATTGTGAAGAGGAATCT